GTTAGGGCCCCAGTGTTTGCAGGTGCCTGAGCGCTGCGTTTGAGGGTTGCATCCATCCCAGGGGCTCTGCAGGGGCGTAGGGGTGCTGGGGGGAGCTCTGGCCCTTCTCACCTCTCGTCTCTCTCCTTGCTCTGCAGGCATCTCAGGCAGTGGAGACCACTCCTCTCCACCACCCGCAGAGACCCACGAGGAGACCTCCCCAACATTGCCTCAGGGGCCCCCAGTCCCCGGCGACCCCTGGCCAGGAGTACCCCCTCATTTCGTGGACCCTCCACCTCCAGGCCTCAACCGTCCCTGGAGAGACCTGCCTGAGTCTGGAGTCTGGCCCCCGGAGCCCCCGAGAACTGATGCACCTCAGCCACCCCGGCCTGATGACCCCTGGCCAGCAGGACCCCAGCCCCCAGAGAACCCCTGGCCACCGGCCCCTGAGGTGGACCACAGCCCCCAGGAGGAGCCAGACCTGAATCCCCCTAGGGAGGAGTACAGATAACCCAGTCCCCTAGGCAGGGCGGCCCAAGCCAGCTCCACCCTCTGACCCCTGGGTCCTTCCTGACTCCCTGAGTCTTCCTCAAGCTCTCCGTTTCATTCTGAACGCAGAAGGCGACATTGTCTGTATTCCCTGTCCCTCCCTGAGGCCCCCACGCTCATGCGCACACTCCTACCTCACTCCTGCCTCTCCCCGCGCCCAGACGGCAGGGCAGGGCTCGGCCGTCTCCCTGCTGCCACCTGGCGGCCTTAGGTGGGAGCCGCCAGGGGATGGTGCTTCCGTAAAATGGAAAAATAAAAACTGTTTCCTTCATTCTGATTCTAGGCTGCTTCTTTATCACGAATAGGTTTTGGGAACCAGCAGTTAGCGTAATGGCTATGTCGCTGGACTCCCACGTAGTCGACCGCGGTTCACGTCCCAGACCCGGTGGCTTAAAACTCACGCGGGCGTGGGTGCCCAAGATCCCAAGAGGAGAATGGAGGAGAAGGGATTGCGATGTGGCCATCCCCCCTGGGGGGGTGATTTCTCGCTTTCTGTCTCTCTCTGTTGCTCTGTCTCTCTCTGTCTGTCTGGCAAGTGCACGTGCCCTATAGCAAAAACCTCTTAAAA